ACACTTGGTCTCCTCTACACCCTTATCTCCAACAAGCCTGAACCATCCTTCCACCAATCCTTCCATCTCAGAGAGCAGTTGGTATCCCCAGCTGGCCCCCTCTCACATGACCGGAGGTTGTACGTCCGCTTTGGAGGCGCGTAAGGACGCTGGGGATTTGGTGCATACGGTCAGGGACAGTACGGAGCAGATCTGGATATTGTCAGGGGATCTGGAGAGGATACCGTGACAACTGAGGTCTTCAGTGCAGAGCTGGTTAAGCACACGTTCAAAGCTACAGCGGTCTTCCCACAAAACAGAGAGCTCATTGTCTCTCAATTCCGCTCAACAGCCGCTCAACAGCCGTGTACTCCGTTGCCATTTGAAGGAAGTGAGTGGCAAAAAGCTGACCGGATATTTAAGGATTTGGTGAAGGATTTGACCTCTGAAGGTGCGCAAAAGCTGTGGTGCTCGCTCCACTACATGAGCGCTCAAATTGCAGTACTCTCAACTGAGAACAAAGGACTCCGTAGTACTGTTGCCTCACTAAGTTCCTCAAAGAAGCAGCGCTATACTCTCAATTTGAAGAAGCCGAAGAAATTGAAGAGCAAAGCTACACTATACTCACCTCGCAAAGTATGCAAAGCCCGCGCCCAACACAAGCAACAACAAAGTCACAACCTTGAAGAAAAGGCTCAGAAAGCAAAGGATAAACAAGAAAAGCTCGCCAAGAAGCTCCGTGAAGAGAAGGAGAAGGAGGAGAGACGTGTTGCGCGAGAAGAGCGCATTGCAATAAACAAGCGCATCCGTGAGGAGAAAGCTGAGGCTGTCAGATGCAGAAAAGAGGAGCGCGATGCTGCAAAAGCTATACAAATATCCCAATCAAATAAGCCCAAGACCTCACAGAAGCCTTCACCAAAGCCTTGTAAGCCTGCAAAGCGTGCGCGGCGTGCTATAGGTGGTGTTGTGGAGGAGGTGCCTGCACCAGCACCCCGTACTCACACCACCCGCAGTGGCCGCGTCGCAACTTAGAAGTATTAACTAAAGGTGCCAAAATTGTCACATATGTATGTAGATACTTGGAATTAATTTTTACTATATAATTACTACTGTACATTGATGTGAAGGATCATTCTTGTGGTGTTGAGATGTAGGTTACCTTGTGCATTGACCAACGGTGTGCAGCCCATGCACAATTACCGTGTCTGTGCACTCAATGCGCCTGTTTGGTCAATGCACCGCACCAACCACCTCAGGCAGTTTACAAACATGAGGATGTAGAGCCACATACAAAAGCTATTATCACAAGTTCTTTTGGTGGGGTGTTCTATAGACCTATGCAACAATATTCTTTTATACAAAACGTGCAGGCAGAGTTGAGGTCTGGCCATGGCGGGTGGTTGTTGTGGGAACTTCCCGGGGTGGGCTTGCCAGCACAATACCCCTACAAGCAGCTACACCATGATGCCGCTTCTTCTTGGGCCTTGCTAGAGGGTTTGAAGCTTTGCGCTTGCCTAATTGGGACTGTTGTATGTCTTTTTGAGTGTTGTGAGCTTCCTTATCACGCTGTCTTTGAGCCTTGCGTTGATCAATTTCCTTCCGCTGTTGAGCGCGCTGTTGGTCACGCTCCTCCTTCTCTACTGCACGCCTTTCACGCTTCTCTCTCTCTTCTTTTTGCTTTAGAAGTCGATTGTTCTCTTGTAGCTGACGCTTAGTTGCTTTCTGGGCTTCTAGTTGGTATTGATGAGCTGCAAAAGCAGCCTCCCGGGCATCAGCTTCCCTCTTTGATGAAGGACTCCACCATCTGGCACCCCCGTGCCACTCAATATTGTGTGCATACAATGGCAGAACCTTCTTACTATCCTTTCTCCTCCTCTTCTTGCCAAGAGCCTCTAAAGCACCATCAAGCTCGTGTTGAAGTAGCTGGTTCTGCACATGGAGGTGGTGAAGGTGCTGCTCTATTGCTTGTGCCTCTTTTGTCATCCTGACATGGCTTGCAGCCAATAATAATCCACCCAGTCACACCTCATGGAACCTCATGGAACCTCATGGAACCTCATGGAACCTCATGGAACCTCATGGAACCTCATGGAACATCATGGAATCCCATGGAACATCATGGAATCCCATGGAACAACACAGAATCTTCCAATTG